CGCTCCGCGCGCTCCGCCTGGAGCCCCGCGCTAATCTCCGCCATTCTGCCTGCCCGTGTGCACGCGTGGCCCCGCGTCCACGGTGTCAGGGCGTGGGGGCGGGGGGTGCCCCGTCCCTGCGCGCCGCGCTGCGGCCAAGCGCCCAACTGGCGGTCTGCCAAGCCGCCTAGCCACGTGTCCGCACGTCGCCTTTCTTGTTGGGGCCTTCTTCGTCACGCGGTCTGACACGTGAGATCTTCACAGTCTGTCCGCCGTCCGTAGCTTCAGACGCAATGCGCCGGGGGAGGGGGTCTCTGCCCGCCCTCGTATCCTAAGGCTGCACCGCCGCCAATAGTGTTTTGCGGGTTGTCGCACCGCAGTGCGCCTCGCGGACGGACCCTGGTCCGCCTACTTGTCCGGTCTCTCTCTCTCTCTCTCTCTCTTTCTCTCCTCTCTCTCTCTCTCTCTCTCGCTCTCTCTCTCTCTCTCTCTCTCCTCTCCTCTGTCTCTCCATACCTCCCTCTCTCTCATGCATGGTACAAAGCGAAACGCAAACGCCGCGCGGGCCTTTCTCGTGCTCGGCGGGCTGCTGGCCACAGTCTCCTGGGCCCTCTTGGGACGTGCCTGGGGGCCCCGCGGGCGGTCTCCGGGCCCCCTCGGTCTCGGGGCCTCGGAACGTGAGGGCAGAGGGGACGGGCCACCGTGCCTCTCGTCCGCGCGTGCCACTCCTGGTGGCCCACTGCCCATCCTGCCACCGTGCCTGGCTTGTGGGTGCGAACCCTCTGGAGTGCCTGTTCGGGTCTCTGGGGGAGCCGCTGGGCAGCCTCTTGGAGGCAGTGCTGAGGCTTCTCGGGGCGCCCTTCGGGGCCTCGTTTGGGCCTCGGGCGTCTGGTGCCCTCCTGGGGCGGAGGCCTCGAAATGTCCCAGCGGCTCGAGCTCCACCTCGTGGCCAGCGCCACCCTCCGCGCCGCAGCCTTGACCAGCTATCATCGCCGTCGTCGCAGAGCCGCCGTGCTCAGATGTCCGGCCCCTCCTGATCAGCAACTGCGGCGACCCAAGTAGGGCGGCAGGCGAGTCGCGCGGAGCGCAGGCTTCCAGGAAGGCCAGCTTTTGAATGGATGGGTGAAGCGAGGACGAAATAAATAGAGCAACGAATGATCACAATCAGAAGCGGAGAGAAACGATCGAAACGTGGTGCTCGAATGCTCGCCTGCCGTCTTCGTGCTTCTGCCAGCCAGCAGACTTCGCTGCCGCTGCGTCACACGACCCCCGCCCTCTGCATTTGGCCAACCCTGAGCTGTGTCTGGGAGCTCGAACGCACATGCCCACCACAAGACGTTCAGTGGCATGTTGCAACGTGCCCATGATGCTCACCTAGTCAGCTGCACCTCCGAAGCCAGCAGCCATGGCTCCAGCGGCACCCGTTAGGGGGGAGCGAACATCCTGTCAATGTCGAGAGGGCGCTGGTTGTGAGCGATGCGCCAGCACCGCCACGGTACACCTGCCTCCATCGGCAATGAAGGTCGCGGCCGTGGAGCCGCAGACCAGAGGCGCGGCTCTGCTACCGATGTGCGCTGGCCCAGCACAGAGCGAAAGACAAGGTGAGATATGAAGGTAATGGCCATCGTGCTACCATAATGGACGCAAGACAAGGGACGAAGGGGCTATTCTGGACACGGCGAAACTCCGCCACGAATACGCTCCACGACCCAGACTCTAGACCTCAGGAACGGCCCGGAAACCAGAGCCCCTCCTGAGTCCAGTGGTCCGTCGTTGAGAGTCTTGCCCGTATGGATGTGTAGTGCTTCGTTTCGCGTAGTGCATACCATCGAGCATGGAGTCCAAAGGAGTCCTGAGCACAAATGTCGGCGGGCGTCGCGCCCCCATCCTCCTCCTCCTCCTCCTCCTCCTCCTCCTCCTCCTCCTGCTCCTCCACCTCCTCCTCCTCCTCCTCCTCCTTTTGAACATCAACGCTCGTACCTGTCTCTGGCGGCGGTCTGACCGGAACTTCTTCGAAGGGGGAACCGGCCGTGGCGGCGAGAAGTCTGCCGGGGGCCCAAAAAGGGGGCAAGCGCCAAAAAACCTCGGCTCTCCAAGCCCGAACCTCTAGACAACCGTTGTAACCATTATCCCCAGTTCGTCCGCCCCAAGACCAGCCCTCTGGGCGTAGGTGGTTCAACGAACTTTGTCGTCTATCTTCCAACGGCCCCTCCTTCCCCTGCTCGGGGGAGGGTTTACCCCTCCAACTACCACTCCCTTAGGCTTGGGAAGGGGGGGAGACGGGGTAGTTGGAGCGTCCCGTATGGCCCGAGATGGGCCCAAGAGGAACTCTGAGAGCGAAAGATGGCCTCCAAGATGGCTCAAAATACTTCAAGATGGTTCAAGATGGTTCAAGATAGCCTTTGATTCACATCCAAGAGGCCTCAAGACGGCCCCAAAACGATTTAAAGTGCCCTCCGAGCCCTCCACCCCCCCCCAAGAGGCCAACATCCTTCAAACACCTAAGAAACATCAATGTGTTTTGCCTTATCGCCTTCTCGCTTCCGATGGGCTCTTGAGGCCTCAAGATGGCCCAAGACGGCCCAAGAGAGCCCCAAGAGGGGCCCAAGAGGGCCCCACCCAAGAGGAGCCCCGAGAGCACCCAAGAGCGCTGCAAGCGCAGCCCAAGGGGGCTCCAAGATGGCATTTGTGAGCTTCTGAGTGGGGGGCTGAATCCCACCAGCCTTCTGGGCGTCGGTGATTTAGAGAGTTTCCTCTTCCACCCCTCCTTCTTCCCCTTCGGGGAAGGGTTTACCCCTGCTCCGCGAGGTGTCGGAGCGTCCAGAACGGCCTCGGCGAGGAAGCACAAATCATTTGTTTTACCAGGGTTTTGGCCCCATTTTGGCCTCCTGGGGGGGGAGAGTAATTAAGGACCCCCCCTTCGTTGACCGATATCATCCAAGATGGCCCCAAGAGAGCCCCTAAAGCTTCCAAGAACGCTCCGACAAGGCCCCCAAAGGAGCCCAGACGGGCCCAAGAGGCGCCCAGGAGGCCCCAAGAGGCCCCAGGATGGCCCCAAGATAACCCCAAAATGGCCCCAAGCGACCCCCAAAAGACCCCCAGGAGGACCCCAAGCGGCCTCCCCGAGGCACCCAAGACGCCCAAGAGTCCTCAGGACCGCCAAGAGACCCCCGAGACGTCCCAAGAGGCTTCAAAACAACCGCCCACGAGATATCCCAACGGGCTCCGAGAGGCATTCAAGAGACCTCCAAGAGACCCGAAGAGGCTTCACGAGGATCCCCGAAGCCCCCAAAATCCCCCCCAGAGGTTCCAAAACAACCCCCAAGAGTCATCCTAAGAGGATCATCTGTCCGCCCTGTTTCCTCCTCCTTTTCCTTGTCCTTATTCTTTTTCTTATTCTTCTTCTTCTCCTCCTCCTCTCCTCATCCTCCTCCTCCTCCTCCTCCTCCTCCTCCTCCTCCTCCTCCTCCTCCTCCTCTTCCTCCCCCCCCTTATCCGTCCACTCATCATCCGAAAACCAGCACCATCAGCAACAACAGCAACAGCAGCAGCAGTGCCAGCAGGAGCAAGAGCACCAGCAATAACACTTGCAACCTTCGCCACAAAAGATCTCCCAATTCACCGTTGTTGCCTGCCCCGGTTCACTATGTGACTCTCTTCTTCCCTTCTTCCGTCGGCTTTCCTGGGCATCGTTTCTGGATGGGCTGGTGGGGCTATTTTTTCGGTCGCGGCCGCGAGACGACGGTCAGGCGGCAAGGGCAAGGTGGTGGGGATACGCGAAACGTCTAAAATTGATGACCTCCCCCTCTGTTTTGAGCAATGGGGGCCAAAAAGGCCCTAAGAGGGCCCCCGGACCCCCCTATGAGCCCCAAGAGGGCCCCAAGGCGCCCCAAAAGAGCCCCGAAAGGGCCCCGAGTGCCCCAAGTGGCTTCGAGAGGACTTCAAGAGGGACCCAAAATGGCTCTCGGTGAACACCGAGGAAACACTTCCAAGCCGGTTGCTACACTGCACGCTTCTACACTCCCTGATTACGGCAACTCGCCTGGTGATCTGTCTCTGGATGGGCTGGTGGGGATACTTTTTAGTCAGCGGCCGCAGGCGAGCGCGCCAGCGGCGCGTCCAGTCAGAGCGGGGCGCGCCAAGACGAATTAACCTACAGCGGTGGACCGGGGCCTCACGCAGCACCTCGGCGGCGGGCCAGCGAGTGGAAAAGGTTGGCGATAGGCTGGATACCAGTACTGCCAGGGTGCAAGTATGCAGCGCGTCGGAAGCAGCAGGCGGCCAGGGTAACCAACGACCAAGGATAGCTGCAGACGAGAATTGGGTGCAAGGGCGCAAGCCCCCGGACTACTGCAAAGGTGCCAGGGTGGCGCTGGTGGGGATATATTTTTTGGTCGGCGGCTCCGAAGCAACGGTCTCGAAGCGGAAGCGGCGTCCGGGTCGCGGTACGAGGCGAATCTGCAAAAAAAACCGCCAGCGTCGACGGACAATGCTCGCACCCGCAAAACAAACTCGCAGTCGCACATGCGCATAACAAAATGAACGAAATTCACAAGCGAACGCACACAGGCGCGGCAGCGCGAACCGAAGTGAACAAGCCGCCGGAAAGAATGTGTCTGGTGGGGATATTTTTTTGGTCGGCGGCTCCAAGGCAACGGACAGGGAGCGGAAGCGGCGTCCGGGTCACGGCACGTGGCTAATTACACGCGATGCGTGGAGCGCACTTGCACTGAGCAAAGTGCTCCGCATTAAGGCAAACGCACACAGGCGCCGGCAACACCGAAGTGAAGCAGACAGCAGTGCGAGTGCAACGGAGAAAGTCGCCCTGTCGGCGCCAAGCTCCGAGCAGCTGGCGGGGATACGCGAAGCGTAAAACAATTCGAAAGGGGGATCTGGCTGGTGCGACGAGAAGTCCCCAAGGGGGCCCAAACAGGGGACAAACAAACAATACCTCCGCTCTCCAAGCTCGAACCTCTATACAGCCGTTGTAACCATCCTCTCCAGTTCGTCCGCCCCAAGACCATGGTCGCAAAGCCCGCGAGGCTCTCGAGCATGGCGAGGTGATTCTTGGCCGCGAGGCCCTGGTACTGCTGGAGGTACTGCTGGAGGTACAGCTGAAGCTCGCAGCCCGTCATCTGCGCCTCGAAACGGGGCATTGCGGGGGAGGGCGAGATCCCCATCAGGAGAGCGTCAACCATACACCCACACCGATCCTTGCAAGGTGTATCCTGGGCCCTGGATGGGCCTGTCAAAAAACGGTATATGCATGTAGGATCGGTCGTCCTGTTGCCCATGTGAGCCACGAAAAGAATGGGGTCTTGGTCGGGAGGACGCGGAGGCCCCAAGAGGCCCCCAAGAGGCCCCGAAGAAGCCAGCAGAGGCCCCAAGAGGCTCCCAGGGGGCCCCCAAACTGCCCCAAGACAGCCCAGGAGAGCCCCAAATTGCGCAGGAGGCCTCCAAGAGTGCCTCGAGACGACGCAAGAGGAGCCCTGGACGGCCCAAGACGGCCTCAAGAGAGCCCAGGCTGTCCCAAGAAAGCCTCTGGCCTTCTCCTTTTCCTCCTCTTCCTCCTCCCCTCCCTCTGCTCCCCTTCCTCCTGCTCTCCTCTGCCTCCTTCTCCTCCTCTTGCTTCTCCTCCACATCCTTCTCCTCCCCCTCCTTCCTCATCCACCTCCTCCACCCTTCCTCCACCTCCCACTCTTCCTCCTCCACCTGCCCCCCCCTCGTTTTCATCTTCGTCGTTCTCAAGGTCGGCGGCACCGGCCGTAAGGCCTTCGCAATCGGTCGATGCATGTAGGATCGGTCGTCCTGATGCCCATGTGAGCCACGAAAATAATGGGGCCTTGGTCGGGAGGACGCGGAGGCCTTATGCGGTGGCTTTCGCGAGCCGCCCTAGCGGTAGCGGCACACCGCGTGGAGAGTAAGGTAGCTCGCGCGCGGTCTCACGCGAACAGCTTACGCGCCAATGTCGACGCAATCGATTCCATTGTTCTACGTCGCCCGTGTTGATCCGAGCAAGTTCACTCGAATCCCGCTGGGGCCCCTGCCGCATTTGGAGAGCGTCTCGAGACATCCTGACCGCTCTCGGAATATTGAGGCAGCCCAGGTCACCCCTCATCGAGAAAGGCGTAAAGGCTGAGAGCAGGCGCCAACTCCCTGGAAATCACTGGAGAGCCGAAAACACAACAAGGAGGCTTGGTGGTCACGTAATTCTGGACCGCCGAAACAAGACGAAGCAAGAGCAATAATCTCTGAGACCCGAAGGGTTGTAGAATGCATCAACCGCCGCAATCGTCCAGAACACTCTGGAACGGTCTGACAGCGTTCCCGAACTATTCAAAACTAGTTATACTCACCCTAAGCACCACCGTGATGAAAGCTCCCACGGCAAGCTCGTGGCCATAAAAAGCTTGACGAAACCTGGTAACTGTCTGGAGGGGCTGTCGGAGGCCGAATTTGTCCACCCTGCATTGTTAATCGTGCACCCCTGTACGATCAAAGCCGCCGACCTGCCGTGGGTAGCTCGGGGGACCGCCCCTAACCAGAAATCGGCCAGCCCTCGAAGCCGCCCGAGGTGCCTGCGCAGCGGTGGCCTCGTCACCCTGGACCGCGCCACCACCACCTTAAAGGGGGGCCAGCAGCAACAGCAGTAGGAACAGCAGCACGCAGAAGACATGGACTCATCCTCGACCTCCTGATCCTCCTCCTCCCCCATCCCTCCTCCATCACCTCATCCCGCGTCCCCCCAACACAGAGACATCATCAGAGTGAGGGGGCCCGAACGGTCATTCACTGTTCCTGGGTGCGTGGCTGAAGTGGGGATCCACGGCGAAGATTATTGTTGTTGTTTTGTTGTTGTTTTGTTGCGTCGTCCTTCCACCCCGCTCCGCGACCCGCCCGCGACCCGCGCCCAGCGACCCGCCCGCGACCCACCCCGCGACCCGCGCGACCCATTCGCGACCCATCCGCGACCCCGCGACCCACCCCGCGACCCGCCCGCGACCCCCGCGACCCACCCCACGACCCACCCGCGACCCACCCGCGACCCACCCCGCGCCCGCCCCCCTTTCTTATCCGCAATTGCGGGGTGCTACGTTATTCAGCCTCCTCCTGACCATCATGGTCCCTCCTCCTCCTCCTCCTCCTCCTCCTCCTCCTCCTCCTCCTCCCTCTTCCTCCTCCTCCTCGATCCTCCTCCTCCTCGTCCCTCCTCCAACTCCTCCAACTCCTCCTCCTCCTCCTCCTCCTCCTCCTCCTCCTCCTCCTCCTCCTCTCCCATCCCCTTTTCTTAAACAACTCCTCTTTGTCGCACTCCCAGACGTGCCGGCAGGGCGTGCCAGAAGTTTCGTGTGAAATTTCCTCACCTGCTATCGTCATGTACCTTGGGTTCTGCAAAAGTCCTAAAGCTAAGTTCTGAACGTTTTCAAAATTGGACTCTCGTCTTCGTGCAGCGCACCCTCGCATTAAAGTCTACAGCAGTCTCAATGTCGTAGGCCGGCCAATTTTCAACATGAGGCGATCGCCTTAGCGCGATGCACATTAATCTTCAAATTTTGCAGCAGCTGTAAGGATGGAGCGAGGCGCATCGCCTTGAAGTAGCTTGTGAACATGGTTAAAGGTAGTCACCGTAGTTGCAGAGATGGTGGGCGATTCCTTCGCAGAGTGGAGTGTTCGCTTGAGACCTCCCGAAATAGTTGCCACAGCTGCGCGGATCAAGGGCGGCTCGTCTCTACGTCTGGGCGCCCACGTGAGACTTCGGTTTACAGCTGCACGGGTGGAGGTCGGCTCCTCTTCAAAACAAGGCTCCCGCTTACGCCGCAGTCGGCGTTCCTGGCCAGAAGCGAAGCTCTGCTTAAGAGCTGCAGAAGAGGTCTGGCGCTTTTTCAAAAACGGGGGTCCCGCTGGACACATCTTCGACCTGCGCATAACTTATCAATCGCTGGAAAGGACGCCGGGTTCTTAATTCATTGTCAATGGTGCTTTTGCCCGAGTCGCAGGTGCGCGTTGCTTATCACTCGCTGGAAAAGACGCCTGGCAAATAATTCCTTGTCAAACCCGTTTTGCCTGAACCGCGGGACCCTCGGGCGCTGGTCTTTCTAGATGCCGCTTCTTGAAGTGGAGAAGATGGCTTGCAACTACTTACGAGGGGACTTGGGACGGTGCAGCATCGCTGACGCATCTTCTCCTCCTCCCTCCCTCGCGCGCCCCTCCTCTCCCTCTTCCGCGTCCTCCAGGTCCTCCTCCTGCTGCTCCTCCTGGTGCTCCTCTTCCTCTTCCTCCTCCTCCTCCTCGTCCCCCTCCTCCTCCTCGTCCTCCTCCCCCACCTTTCTCCTTCTTCCCCCCCCCTCTCACTTCCCCCCCATCTACCCCCCCCCCCCCCTCCCTTAGCCCGTCCGCCCTCCCTCCTCCTTGTCGCCCACTGCTCCCCGCAGTCCCCCCCCCTTGCGGCGCACAGACGGGGGCACGGGAGGGGGGCAGGCTCCTCAAAAAGAGGCTGCTTCGTAAAGGCGCCAGCCCTACATCTACAGACCAGACAAGGCCCACGCCTTCTAAGAAGCAGGGGCGCTTCTATGAAACCCTTCCACCCCCCCTCTACCCTCACTTCGCCCCAGGCCGAGAGAAACACCACGACACTAAATTCCTCAAACAAACGACTTGCAAACATACAAATATGACGTGTTGGCGGACGATCTTCCAGGGACAGCGCCCCGCCACCCCGCAGACCATGGCTCACGCCGCGTTGCGCTTAAAGCGACGGAGGGGCCGAGCAAGAAAAAGGTGCAACCTTGGGAAGACACAAAGGTGCATTCGAGGGTGCGCCCCGCCCCCAACCGACGTGCTCCATGAAAGGGAAATTCGGGGATGGCGACACAGCAACGGCAGCCTCGGCGACGCGACGAAGGATTCCCAAGAGGCCCTAGGATGCCCCCCCCCCCCAGGATTTTGCACCGGGGAAAGACCAGTTGGCACATACTTTAGGCATTCTCTTGGAAGCCTCTGGGGGTCCTCTGCGGGTCCTCCTGGGCCCCTGACAAAGCTGCCGGGGGCCGTCATGGGGGCCACAAGAAAGCCTCAAGAGGGCCCCTAGCTCTGCGACTGTTCTTGGAGACTCGGCGGGCTCTCCCGGGCCCCCAAGATGGCTCTGGACCACTGGCATGGTCCGACAAGACTGCCAGAGGCCTACTAGCGACACGAATGGCGACATGAATGGCGACGCTAATCGACACTTGCGGCGACACGAATGGCGAGACGAATGGCGACACGAACGGCGACACGAATGGCAACACGAACGGCGGCACTAAAGCACGGCGGTGACAACACACATGGCGACACTAATGACTGCACCATTTCAGCAGCGGCCTACCCGTGACCACAGTCACCAATCGAACAACACAAATTCCATTACCCTGCATAACAGAATTCGTGTTGTGTCGATGCCCGCGCATTCGGCTCGAACCTGCGATTTCCTCGCCCTGAATGGCGACATTATTGGCGACGCTACTGCACTAACGACAACACGGATGGCGACACGAACAGCAACACTACTCGACAATAGCGTCAGCACGAATGGCGACACGAACGGCAACACTAACGGCGACACGAATGTCGACACGAACGGCGACACGAATGGCAACACGAATGGTGACGTTAACGTTGCCACCAGTTGCGATTGCAGAGGCCACTTAACACGCGCCCTCAATATGATCCTCCTCCTCTTTCTCACTGCGTGCCTATTGTGACTGTCCTGGCAGGTCGCGCCAGCCCCTATCCTCAATCCACGCTAACTCCTCAACAGCTGTTTTGGGTCACTCCGAAGCGCAGTCTTTGTAGCTCCACGACATCTGTCACCCGGCGATGGCGAGGATCGCAAGGATAAGAGCGTGGGAATAGAAAGGGGGAGATAATAACCCATGGTCTTGATTGCGCGGGACAAAGGAGGAAACAAAGGGAGCATAGTGGAAACAGGGGGTAGCTGGAATGGTGCGGGGGATACCCAGCTTGCTGTTAGGGAACTCATGAAGCTTGCGCAGGCCACCCCAAGGCCACGAGAAGGCGGCGAAAACTGGCACGCAAGCAGGACGGATCTCAGGAGTCACGAACATCTGCACAACGCCGTCGCAAACGAAACGAAATCTAAAATTCAAGTTGATGTGCGATATATGTGAGCAACTGGTTTATGTAATGTCTTTCGAGAGCGGGCGAGGTGACTAATTACCCCCTCTGCGCGTGGCCGACCCCCCCCTGCACGAGGGGACAAGACAAGACGCCGCCGCCACCCCCCCGACCGCCTCCTCCACCCTTCGCTTCCTCCCGCCTCCCCCCTCCGTCCGCTCCCCCCGCCAAGCCCGTCCGCCCTGTCACTTCCCTGTCGA